TGGAATGCACGATTTCTAAATGAGCTATAAAATAGTATAAAAGTCATGAAAGAATACAAACCCAGTTTAGACTATGAACGCAGAATAACCAATCCCAAAACATACTCTTTTTCCCCAAAGGGGCATTTTAATTTTATTTTTTATTTATTGATTTTAGAGGGGGAAGTGGAGAGAAGGGAAAGGGGAAATGGGAGAGGGGGAAATGGGAGAGGGGAAAACAGAGAGGGAGGGGTAGAGAGATGGTGTTCCACTTATTTATGCATTCATTGGCTGATTCCTGTATGTGCCCTGACCAGGGATTGAACCCACAACCTTGGCAACCTCTAACCAACTGAGTTACCCAGACAGGGACCAAGATACACTCTTAATAAAATTATTGGACTTCAAAGAAAAAAAGCCTTTGAATGTTTTGGATAAAAAGTGTACATTTTCTTCACAAAATTATCTGAAATCTCACATACTTTAGAAATGTCAACTTCACAGAAGGTTTTTCATAAGAGACCATCTCAAATACAATGTTGAATGAAGTCTGAGCCTACAACTACAGGATTAAATCAAAGAGTTGACTCTAGCTCTTGTCCTTATATGCTTGGTTTACCCTCCTTTTTTTTTTTTTTTTTTTTTTTTTAATTTTGAAAATTTTTATCCCTGGCTGGTGTGGCTCAGTGGATAGGGTGCCAGCCTGTGAATACAAGGGTCGCTGGTTTGATTCTCAGTCAGGGCACATGCCTGGATTGCAGGTAGGTCCCCAGTGTGGGGCACGGGAGAGGCAACCACATGTTGCTGTTTCCCTCCCTCTCTCTCTCTCCTTTCCTTTCTCTCTTTCTTTCTAAAATTAAATAAATTCTAAAAGAAAGAACAATTTTAAACCCACAGAAAACTGCCCTACACCTAAACTTAACAATTAGGAACATTTTGCCACATTTGCTTATTTTTATTATATATAAACTCCTCACTCCCACCCCCCACTGAACTACTGGAAATTAAACTGTAGATATTTCTTTCATTCCCCAAAAAACTTTTTCAGCATGCACTCCTACAAACAGGGACATTGTCTTACATAACTATAATACCATTACCACACCCAGAAATTTAATATTGATAGTATCTACAAACACTTCCCAAAATGTTACAAAATAATGTCCTTTATAGTTTTTTTTAATTTCAGAATTCCGTCAAGAACCACACACTTTGCACACACACTGTCATGTGACTGTCTCCTTTAATCTAAAACTGTTTACCTCCTCACCTCTTTATGGTCTTTAAGGACATTGAAATTTTTTTACAGTTTGGCTTTTTATAGAATGTCCCACAACCAGGATTTATTTGTTGCCTTATAATTACATTCCCGATAAACCTTTTTTGGCAACAGTTTTATATTGGCGATGTTATCATGTCTCCTCTTGATGCAATATAGTAAGGAAAAATTACTTTGTTTCACTAGTGGTGATGCTGACTTTGATCACTTGGTGGACACTTCTGTGTGCTTAAAAGAAAAAAACTGGATTCAAGTCTTTCCCCTGCTCAAAACTCTAGAGCTAACTTCCCCTTAAACTTTATTAATAAAGTCCAAAATCCTTTCCAAGCCCTGTGAGGCCTTGGCCTACTCTTTAATCTAACTGCTGTCTAAAGTCTCCATGGTGCCATAGCGGTTTGCAGTCCTCTCTAGGTGAAAAATCCCAACATGGATGAATCAATTTCAATCACATCATCTGAAAGATATCTCTGAAATTACACTGTATCTTAAATTTTCCCTTATGGAAAAGTGATTCCCACAGTCTCTCAGAAAATTCCCCTTAGAGCAGAAAGATGACCCAAGGGTTCAGGGAAAGAAATACAGGGGAACTTGGCTGAAAGTTAAGTTATCTAGAACACACATGGTGGAGCTTTATGGAACTCACCATCTATGTCAATCCTCTATGTACTTTATGAACACCTGAATAAGATCCCTGGAAGGTATAGTGGCTTGTTATCCCTGGTGGTATGGTTGGACAAAGGTAATCCCTTAACCTTTATATCAGTCAGCAAAACATTAAAAAACCATTTGAATGAAGACTGAGTTCTCTTTATTACCTGAAACACTTCCATTGACATCTTCTGTAAAGATCAAGGAAGCACTAGCCTCAAAACTTGGAGAATAAGTTGTCAATGGCTTTAGGTAAAAAGTCCCAAAAGGTAACTGGGCACTCTCAAGAAGTGCTAAATCATCAAAATGCTTGATGGTATAGAAGGATGCATAGAAAAATAAGACCTAGACAACTCAAGCCAAAAAGTAATTTAGAAGAGTCAGACTAAATAGGAAGGTTTAGAAATATCAAAACTTATTTCATAAATTTATTTCATATATATAGATAAATATCCTTCATTTGTGAGTAAGTGACATAGGATTCTTAAAAGTCTGTCTAAATAAGTCTCTTACTATATATATATGTAAATATATATATATGTAAAATTCTAGGTGCAATTACTAAATACAGGTGACAGTTATATACTTTATGCAACAAATGCATAAAATGGCTTTAGGAAATGGAATTGTACCTGAACAAAAATCTAGAGGTCATGAAACAACACCCCCCGCCCCCGCCGATGCAATAATATACAATATGAGTATACATTTAGTTGTATAAGCAATGCCTACCCAGCATCAACTTGTTGTCTAAGTCATGATCACTGGCTTTTGTCCCATTTGGATTATAATTTCAACAAGCTTGTAGATACTAACATTGGAAACAAATTTATCTTCACCCAAGGACATGTTAATTGATTTTAGAAAGAGAGAGAGAGAGAGAGAGAGAGAGGCAGAGGAAAGGGAGGGGAGAGAAAGAGAAACATCTCTGGGTTGCTCCTGTATGTACCCTAAGCAGGGATCAAACCTGCAACCTAGGGACATGCCCTGACCTGAAACTTTCTGGGGTACAAGATAACGCACACTATGACCAATTGAACCAAATGGCCAGGACTGTAAACAAAAATTTTGATTACTATATTCATCTGAGTTTATTTTTCTCTATCTCCTTTAATCTGGAAATGCAATTTATAGGCCTCTCTTGGAATTTAATTTTTTCAATAAATTACTGGGGGGTTTTTTCAGTGTTCAATAGGTTTGGGAAATACAAGTCCCTAGTGACATATAGTGTTGTCTTAGCCTTTCACTGCTCTTGGTTTATTTACTTCACACATTGAAAAAATTCCTTCTCTAAATGAGATTTCAAGCTAGTAGGCATCCATCACTCCTACTTTGTTTCTACATGTTATATGGGACCAATGCTCCATCCTCTCCATACTGTTTCTAAATTGTTCTCCTTTACTGAACCAATTTGTACTTTGATTAAAATTTCATCTCCTTTTGAATAATCCTACCAAGATTCCAATGATGTATTTCACAGAACTAGAACAAGTATTTCAAAAATTTACATGGAACCACGAAAAGCCCCACCTAGCAACAGTGACCCTGAGAAAGAAGAACAGAGTCGGAGGAATCAATCATACTACCTAATATCAAACTATACTATAAGGCTGCAGTAATCAAAACAGAATGGTACTGACATAAAAACAAACACACAGATCAACGGAACAGAATAGAGTGCCCAGAAATAAACCCACACCTTTATAGTCCATTAATATTTGACAGAGGAAGCAAGCACATACAATGGGCTAAAGACAGTCTATTCAACAAATGGTGTTAGGAAAAATGGACAGATCCGTGCAAAAAAAATGAAACTAGATCACCTCCTTACACCACACACAAGAATAAATTGAAAATGGATCAAAGACTTAAATATTAGACCTGAAACTATAAAAACCCTAGAAGAAAGCATAGGCAGCAAAATCTTGGACATTTTTCATATAAAGTTTTAATCTGATATATCCCTCCAGGCAATGAAAACAAAAGAAAAAATAAACGAATGGCACCATATCAAACTAAAAAGTTTTGCACAGCAAAGAAAATCATCTACAAAATAAAAAGACAACCCAAAGAATGGGAGAACATATTTGCCTATACGTCTGATGAAGGATTAAGATCCAAAATTTATAAAGAACTTACAAAACTCAATACCAAAAACACAAAAAACCCAATTAAAAAATGGGCAAAGGACCTGAATACTCTTTTCCAAAGAGGGCAAACAGATGGCTAATAGACACATGAAAAGATGTGCAATGTCATTAATCATCAGAGAAATGCAAATTAAAACAATGACATATCATCTCACGTCTTTCAGAATGGCTATCATCAATAAATCAATGAACAATAAAGACCAGTGAGGATGTGAAGAAAAGGGAACCCTTTTGCACTGTTGGTGGGAATGCAGACTGGTGTAGGCACTGTGGAAGCAGTATGGAGGTACCTCAAAAAATTAAAAATGGATCTGCCTTTGGACGCAGAGATCCCACTTCTGGAATACATCCGAATGAACCTAAACACTAATGCAAAAGAACATAAGTACCCCTATGTTCACTTCTGTATTATTTACAGTCGCCAAGATATGAGAGCAGCCCAAGTGTCCATCAGTAGATGAGTGGATAAAACAACAATGGGACAGTTACACAATGGAATACTACTCGCCATAAAAAAGAAGAAAATTTTACCCTTTTCAACAGTAAGGATGAACCTGCAGAGCATTATGCTATGTGAAATAAGCCAATCAGAAAAAGACAAGTACCATATGATTTTACTCACATGTGGAATCTAATAAACGAACTAACATGGAAAATGGGGATAGATTCATAGATGGAGAGCAGATGACAGCTGGGGAGAGATTAGGAGGTGGAGGGATTGAGCAAAAAGGAAAAAAGACTCATGGACATGGACAACAGGGTGGTGAGAGCGGGGGGTACTAGGGTACAAGGGGACTAAATGGTAATAGAAAAAATACAACAAAGATTAAATAAAAAATAAAATACCGAACAGACTCAATTTTGCCTCTCATATAATTATTCCTAAAATACTTTTAAGAAGTAATTTTAGCTCAGAAGAGACCTATATATTTTTCCTTTTTAAAAAAAATACAGAACACTTCAGGAATGTGCATGCCCGCCTCGTGCAGGGGCCAAGCTAATCTGCTCTGTATCGCCCCGATTCCAACACAATGCGTGTTGTTGAAGCAAGCACTGCTCAGTGTTTTCTTTAAAATATTGTGAAGTTTAAGCACAGGGTGTCACAATTTCACAGGTATTTAGTAGACAATGAAAATTTCAAGATGCTACTATTATACTTCATAGACCCAATGGCCTTTCTACATGTGGTCTTTTCTACTCTATCAACTACACTTTGAGGCAAATAATCATGAACTAATAAAACTTGAATTCCAGAAAGGACAGAATTAGAATATGACCATTTTGCAATTCTTAATAAAATAATGAACCTCAGCTACTGTGGGTCTACAAAAGGACCAGGGCTGGTCTGCAAACTGTTACTAGTTCTTAATAAGAAAAGGTACATAAATTTTATATACGCATTCATACTTGTATTACAAGTTGACAGTAATTTTATTTCTGTTGAATCTTCAAAAATTTGGGACTTCTGTTTTTTGTGTCTTTGATTTTTAAATTTCATTTGTCTAAAAAATTATTTTGTTTTATAATAATAAAGTTGCCAATAGACTGAATTTTTTTTTTAATGGTTTTTACTACCGACCTGTGACAAACACTGAACTAGGCACTGGCTATTAAAATCATTAGATGAAGGAGAAGCTTGATCATTGATAGATAAGTTGGCAACCTCTGAATCGAATGATCAATCTTAACATACAAAAATACAGACCAGGTATACATAACTTTTACTGGAAGGCACTGAGTAAACAGATGGAAGGAAGACTAGACCACATGTTTATAACTGTTGAGCTGAACAACAGGGTCATTATACTCTTTGCTTTACTTATATTATACATATGTTTTTAATTTTCCACATGTAACCAACTACATGATTGGCCCTTAATTCCTCACTATTCTCTATAGCCTTCCTTTTATCACGTGACTTTGCAGTTTGTCCTGTTACAGGCATAATATATTTCTTCACTCCTCACGCTTTGCTCACCCATGACACTTGCTTTGGTCAATGAAATGAGGGCAGAAGTGATAGTGTGCCAAGCCTTAAGATAGCTTAATGTTTCCACTTGCCTTCTGTGCTTCTGCAATCATCATGAGCCTACTAGTCCCAAGGGAAGGAAGAGAGTAATGGGACTCAGCAGTGCTGAACTGACCCACAAACTCATGAGCAAGAAATCAGTATCACATGACTTTCTAGTATCATAAATTAGTACTGGAAGTATCAGAATATACTTCTAATACCTCTTAAAGTAAAATTTTAAAAAATTCTGTATGCATGGCAGGCTCTGAATTAATAACATTATGACTCTGCTTTCCCTGGCCATAGATTAACAGAAATATGTAAGAATGTAGGACAAAACTGTACAAAATAGCTATGATCATGCTTAGTTCTCTGTGATCTTGTCTTTAAGACAAATACTACACTGATTCTTTAGCTTTACAGATTAAAATGTAAATGCATACTTATCCTTTTTTAAGGAGTAACTAATGAAGGAAATATATCAGGGAAGAGAAACTAGACACACTAGTAATTAACTCTAGGGAACTAGGCCTGGTGAGCCCAAAATGATACTATACCTGACAGACAAATTGATATGTTTTCTTATCAAATTACTAAAACTAACGTTATGTGAAAGTACTACACAAATACCAGGGTTGCATTTTTTAAAAACCCAAACTTGTTAAATCCAGAGCACTTCCAATTCTATTTATTTTCATCAGCTTTATTGTCAAATTACTTTTGAATTTAAAATCTGGACTGCTACTATCAAAAAAAGGAGTTTCATTTCTGCTGGTACACTTTCTATATTTATAAAGCCAGTCTAAAATTAGCCTGTTTCCCCACAAACCACACACATACTAATTCCCTTAAAATACAGCTGAACAGGTGCTTTTAAAAATATTCTTAAGGATCATTATAAAATGATTATAAAATATTACCATGAAATTTTTATAAGTTTATGTACTATACTAAGGTTCTCTTGAGGGAGCTATCCTTTGACCCAGCAATCCCACTCCTGGGTATTTATCTAAGAGAAATGAACAATCCAAACCCATCAACAACAGGTGAATGGATAAATAAGTTCTAACACAGCCATATGTAGACTACTGTGCAAAAATAAAAATGAACAAACTAATGATGCAACACAGATAAATTTCAAAAACAGTATGTTGAGAGAAGACAGAATCACTGTATAATTCCATTTGTATACAGTTCAAAGACAGACAAAATTCATGTATGATTACAGAAAGCAGAACAGTGGTTGGGGTTGAATGAATAGAAGGAATGACTGCCAGAGCAGGAGGAAACTTTTAAGAGTAATGAAAATGTTCTGTATCTTGGTTGGGGTAGTGGTTACATGAGTATATACATTTGTCAAAACAAATTATACACGTAAAGGTCTGTGTACTTCACTACATATATATTTAACCTCAATAAAAACAAGCAAAACAAACATCTATTAGAGACCTTTTTCAAACTACCATTTCTACCAACTAAAAGACAATACTACAGTAAGCAACTGTTACCTCAGCCTTCAGGGGCACTGGATGTTCAAGCTCTGCCATGGTGTCAATAACAAGGCCAACACACTTACTACTCAAATCTAAAAGCCACTCTCTTACAAAACCATAAATCTATCAGATTAAATCCCTGTAAGTGGATGAATTAATCATCCATCAAGTTTATACTTTTATCCCTAAAAATATTCATACTAACTTAAGCTATATCCACTCAAGGTATATCAGTCACCTTCAACAGAATTTTCTTTTTAATCTAATACTATAAATATTATACCTTATTTCACCCCATCAGGTGTTGGGATTAGAAGGAACATATCTCTGCAGTTCATTACAATAATGTAGCAATGTGAAAATGGTCCACAAAAGTGTAACTTAGCACCTACACACAAAAAACTGGTCATATAAAAGCAAGTAGAGTACAAAGTAAACGGCATCCCAACTCATTCTATGAGGTTAATATGGTCCTGATACCAAAATATCTACAAGCCATTATCTATTATGAAAAGAGATGCAAAACTCCACAAAATGGTTAAAAAAACACATCTAGCAACATTATAAAAAATGATTATATACCACGTGAAGTGAGATTTATCCCAGAGATGCTAGTTTAACATCCAAAAATCAATTAAGTTAATAATATACCGTATAAATAAAAGATGAAAACCATATCATCTGAATACACACAGGAAAGCATTTGTCAAAATCCAAAGTCTTCTCATAATAAAAACATTCAATGAACAACGGATACACAGGAACTCTCTCAATGGGATAAAGGGCATCTATAAAAAACTCACAGCTAACACAATACTTAATGGTATAAGACTAAATGCTTTTCCCTAAGATCAGAAACAAGGATTTCTGTCCTTGCCAATCCTATTAAAAAATTTTAGTAGCAATGGTTGTTGGCATGGTTCAGTGGGTTGAGCGCCGGCCTATAAATCAAAGGTTGCCAGTTTGATCCCAATCATGGCACATACCTGGGCTGCAGACCAGGTCCCCATTGCAGAGATGGAAAAAGCAACCAATGGATGTTTCTCTCCCTCTCTTTATCCCTCCCTTCCTGCTCTCTAAACAGTAAATAAATAAAATCTTTAAAAAATATATTAGTAGAAATATTAGCTAGTGCAAGCTAAAAATAATAACAATAGTAATAAAATAAAAAGCACCCAGATTGGAAAGGAAAAAATAGAACTATCTCTATTTGCAAATGGCATCTTATATTAAAAAAAAAAAAATCCTAGGTGTTCCACTACAATACCATTAGAAAGAATAAATAAGTTCAGTAAGGTTGTAGGATACAAAATAAGTATATAAAAATCAGTGTATATACCCCTGCAAAAATGAACAATGCAAATATGTAACTGAGATAATTCCATTCACAATACATCAGAGAATAAAACAATTTAACTAAGAGAGAACAAAATTTATACTTGAAAAGCTACGTGACACTGTTGAAAGATTAAAGATTTAAATGGAAAAACATCCCCACACTGATCCACACATTCAACAAAATCCTAGCTAGCTTCTTGCCAAAATTAACAAGCTTATACTAAAATAAGCAAAACACACTTTGGCAAAAAAAAGAAAAAAAAAAAAAAAAAAAACAGAGTTGGAGGATTCACACGTCCCAAATTCAAAACTTACATACAAAGCTACAAAAGCAGAACAATGTAAAATTGGTGTGTGGATAGATATATAGATAAATGAATCACAATCCAGAGTCCAAAAACAAACAATTGATTTCCTACAAGAGTGCCAAGGTCATTCAAAATGAAAGACTAGTCTTTTCCAAAGAATGGTACTGGGACAACTAGATAGCCACAAGCAAAAGAATAATACTGGCACCTTACCTTATAGCAGATACAAAATATAGCTCAAAACAGATCGAAGACCTAAATATAAGAGCTAAAAGTCTAAAACTTTTAGAAGAAAACAGATAATTACACAAATTTTCAGGATTTTGAATTAGGAAATGTTTCTTAGATATGGTGCCAAAAACAAATGACAAAAGAAAACTAGATTGAACTGCATCTGTATTAAAAGCATTTATGCATCAGAGGACACCATTAAGAAAGTGAAAAAACCCACAGAATGGCTGGACATATCTGTAGACCCCATTTGACAAGAGACTAGTTAACAGAATAAAGAACTTTACAACTCAATAAAAAGACAAATACTTGAATACATTTCTCCAAAGAAAACATACAAGTGGCCAATAAGCACAGGAAAAGATGTTCAACATGACTAACCAGAGAAATGCAAATCAAAATCACAATCAGATACCACTTTATAACCACGATGATCTATAATCAAAGAGATAGGAAGGATTCTGTTCTCTCCTTGACAAACAAGAGTATCTAATAATTTTAAATGTCGAAGCAACTTAAAGGTTTAAGAAATATCCTCTGCAAATTTTATGGCAGATTAGAGCACATTATTTTTTCCTTTTGGTTAGTTTCAACATTGCTTATTCTCAACTTTTAGAAAACAAGTAATTTGACATTCAATATTTAAGAATTTTAGAGTAACTCTCTTA